GAGGCACAGAATCTGAAGCAGGCTCCAGGCTCTGAGCTGTCAGCACAGATCCCAACGCGGGGCTTGAACCCACAAACCACAAGATCATGACCTGAGCCAAAGTCAGACGCTTAACCGACTGAGCCACCCAGGCGCCCCTACAGTGATACTTTTAATATGGGCACCTGATCCAACGCAGGGCAGGGCCATGCAGCCATAAGAGGTTTTTTTTGTTTTAATTGGAAAGAGAAGTTCTTTTTTCTTCTGGAGTTTATATCAGGAGATTCATGTTTCCTTTATGAACTGAGAATAAAGTCAATTAAGAGGGAATAAGTAGAATTTGGAGAAAGACATAGGGTCTTGATGACAGGGTTTGAGCTTCAAAATTAAGCTTTCGTTAAAGTTATAACTGCCCCCAGATCCTTTTCTCTACTTAATCTAGTTTTGATTTTTGTCATATACAACACAAAAGCCCTAATACAGAGAGCATTTATTTTTAATGGCCCTTGGAGACCCACCTGTTGGCCTAGTTTTTGGTGACATGAGGGACGTGAAGTCTGAGGTAGAGGACATCAAATACACTGGTAGATATTTGTTCAAACAAATGAAGCAATATCTGTGATGATAAAGAAAATCAGATGGCTAAAAACTTTAAGAAAGTGAACTAAACTGAACTCATACTATGTATGAGTTATGTACGTATGTATTATGAGTATGTATTATGTATGTATGTTAACCAAATGGAATTTTAAATAAAAACTTGGGGCGCCTCAGTAGCTCAGTTGGTTAAGTGTCCAGCTCTTGATTTCAGATCGGGTCATGATCTCAGTTTGTGAGATCGAGCCCCGTGTCAGGCTCTGCACTGACAGCATGGAGCTTCCTTGGGATTCTCTCTCTCCCTCTCTCTGCCTTTCTCCTGTACTCTCTCTCTCTCCCTCTCTCAAAAACATTTAAAAAATTAAAAATAATTAAATAAAAACTTGAAAAAGTTAGACAAAGAATGTGGACTGAATTGCTTGGTGGAGACTGAAGTGTGTTGTAAATATTGTAATGTTTAGGACAGTGAGTGAATGGATATTGGCAACCTTATGAACAATGGAGTGTAAGGGAGGAGACGGTTTGGTTGGTGAATGGTAAGTTACATATTAGACATCCTAACCTACTTGTTTCTGTGGCCTGTTTACTACTGAAATCATTAACCTGCGTTTAAGAGACAAAACTGAGTAAAAACATAGGGTTGGAAATTAAGTGGACATGGATGTATGTTGAACTTAAGGGAGTGGACAAGGTCACTTACAGATAGTGTGTAATGAGAAGAGAGACTTGAAAAATGCCTACCTTTGTATATTGCTCGTATCCTCAGCAAAGGCATGGAAACCTCTTGAGGGATATTATGATTATTTATTCATCTTTGATTCTCCAAAGCCTGTCCTGATGTTTGGCAAATAATAGCAAATCCCTTTACGTTTCTATTGAATAAATGAAAGAGCCATGCATTATTCATATCATCTCATGCACTTGGGGAAAAAATTATGGAACTGTTGTTTTCCTCGTAAATATGTCTCCACTCCAGATACTAGAAGCTTCATGCTTTACTTCCACAAGGCTCAAAGCTGTTTCTACCTTTTAGGAAATCTGACAACCTCACATGAGTCTTCTGGAATGATTAGCCTGGGTCTTATCTTTACTTATTTGCTCTCACATTGGGACCATCTTTATTCCCACCGTAGGGTTGGTGGGGATGTGATGATGCTTTGTAAGCGGGGAGGGCCTGTTACCTCTTGACTCATGTTTTCCCTTTTCTCCCTAGGATGTGAATCACCTCATGGAAAGGTATGTGTGGGGGATCAGAGATGGTGAAAGAGGTTTAAAGGCATTAGAGTTCTGTGGTGATCAGTTAGAATAAAACATTTCTCAGGGCCGGACAATTTGGATGCATAGTTTTATGTGAAATTTCTGTTCACAAATTGTGGTTTGAGTGTTCTGTAACTGTTGAGAATAGACCAGGCTCTGTGGTAGAGAATTTGGGTGGTGGGAAGTCACACAGTTTGGGTCAGTAGCAGTATCAAAGCTAAGGCGTGGCAGACCCTTGTGACATGATAGCTTTTATTCACCTTGCATGCCCATATCTAACTCAGGTTCTCATATTTCTTAGGCGCTTGGCCTATCCTGGGAATGTCATATCTTCTTTATCTGCCAAGCACCCAGAGTTGGAGACAGCTCCCTTATATTTAAATTTCTGCCCTTGGAATGGAAGAGACCTTCTATGCAGCTCTTAGATTTCCAAAAACAGACTCGAATCTCAAGAAATATTTTGGCCCTAGTATACACAAGTGATCCATCTTGATCTCATACATTGGAAGCCAGATTGGAAAGGTGGCATCCTTGTGTCTCAATTTTGCACACCTATGTGACAGCATCGAGTTTTTTCCTAACACAGGAAATTCAGGCCATCGTTAGTTTGGTGCTCAAGTTCCAAGTGTTTGCAAACGTTCCCAGAAAACCTGAAAACTCAGATGTTATTCTGAGGGCTTTCCTGCTGGGAAGCAGAGTTTAAGTTTTTTTTAAAGGTACCAAAGTTTTGTTTTGTTATATCCATTATTTCATGTAATTTTATATGATTTCTAGGATTTAGAGAAGGAGAGGTTCATGATTTAATTTTGGAAACTGTGCCTTTGAGAGGTCAAGACCTTCCTAAGGTCACACAGAAGGCAACTGAGAGAGGGTAGGTGTGAACACTTTTCCCTGACTCTAAGGTCACAAGTCTCCTGTTCTTTCTCAGGGTATTCAGGGTTCAAGCGCTTCAATGGGGTGAAGATAAAAAGTTGTGTGGAGGGACAAAAAGTCAGAAGTGTGGGGTTCAATTTTTGTCATCCCTAGGAGCAGGGTCTTGAGTCTGAAGAAACCAAAAACTTTTCTCAAGGGACAAAGAAACACATTCCGAGCTCTTGATCTGCAAGAGATAATACAAGCCTTTAAAAAAGGTGAGGAGTGTTAGAGCAAGTGGGTGGCTGTGGGAGTCTTGTGATGGCAGGGGCTAAATGGGGAAAAGGGCACAATTTCTGGGTATGGAGAGAGAAGACAAAGGAGACTGGATGTCCTGTGCTGATGATATGGTCATATTTGATTGGGTGTCTGGTTCATACTCTCCTTCACCAGTTCACTATCTCACCATCATCCCCAGTCTTTCCCTTGATCTTCAGGGGAAAGAGATTTCAGAGCTGCCTCCCTTGCTTATGTTGATTGTGGGGTTTTGTTTTGTTTTGTTTTGCTTTGTTTTGTTTTGTTTTTTGAGAACCGACACATGTTTAGCACTAGCAAGGTAAGGAGATATCAGTATCATCGAACCACCTTGTACTTACCACCTTTCAGAATTTTTCATTCCTAGTAGGTCTTATGTTCCGAGACCCATATTTTCCCCTGTAACACATAACATACATATTGTGCTTCTTCAGTGTTATACCTCTCCCCAAAGACAGATTTTTCATAGTTCCCACTCCAGTTATTCCCAAGATCAGATCCCTCTCACAGGGTCACAAATAAAGCTACGTCATATCCCTCACCCAACCCTGTACTTTTTTTGCAGCTCACGTGATTCCACACTGACCCCAAAATACGACGTATTTTGGCATTTCTACGGGACGAAGACCAGTGAGATATATGTGCTGGTGGAAATCAAATAATGCATGTAACAGCGATTATGGTGTCCCAGGCTCCCTGGTTATCAGTTCGGGGAAACATTACTGGGGGTTTGATCTTGGGGGGTATATGATAGAACATGCCCAGAATCCAATATGAAATTTCATGTTAGACATACTTAAAATTACCAACATGTTTACTCTGGGTATCAACCTAATATGGCTATTGCGTTAAAGGGTTAAAGGGTTGAATATAACGCTTTTGAGGAGTCCTCCTTCTCTGACCCCTTCGTCTTAATCCTGGCCTTGCCTGTTCCTCCCCATTGTGTTGGAGTTTTCCTAGACTACAAGGCTGGCACCGTCTCCTTTTTCAATGTCACAAACCATAGGTTTCTCATCTATAAATTCTCTTCATGTTCCTTTTCTCAGAAAGCTTTTCTGTATTTCAACCCTGGGAAATATACTGACCCCATGACTCGGGGGGGACTGACTCTAGACTACTAGAGTCAGAGTCGTAGAGTCTAGACTACTAGACTACTAGAGTCTAGTTCTTGTACTCGCCAAGCTCTTGAACCTTCTTACACCCCTACTTATTTCTTTGTAGTTGCGCTTGCCTTAAGTACACCTAATGCATTGAGTCTGTCTCACCGTGTGTCCCTTGCTGCCTCCCTTTTCTCTACGTGAACACCTTCATTCATCAGCAGGGTGTACAATTTGCCTTGAATAATGTTTTTCCCAGTATGATGTTTGCATTAGGAAAGAATCTCTGTTCATAATTTTCCATAGTCCCAACAGAAAAAAAAAAAGGGCTGATGCCTCATAAAGAAAGATCATTATTGAGGGAACAACTCTGCCAGATTGTTACAATCCCATTTCCTCTGTCATGACTGAAAAGATGAAGGAAAGCTTTTCAACAATTTTGATGTATTATCAAAGACCTAAGCGTAGGAATTATTCACTAAAGACTGAACCCTTAGTGGTGTGTCAGTGTTCTCATGATGCCTCTTACTCATCAAAGAGTTAGGGAGAAAATGAGAAAATATCATAAATAGTAAGAATGGAAGTTTATGTTCAGCATGTCTGAGTTCCTGTCCTCTCTCCACACGTAGCAAATGCAACCTTGAATAACATACATTAATGTTGTGTTTATTTTCTTAAAATAAGCTTGGTGTAAAAACTGCACTGTACTTAGGATCATCGTAAGAAAATAAATGTCATTAAAAATAAAGCATCTAGGGGCACCTGGGTGGCTCAGTTGCTTAAGTGTCCGACTTTGGCTCAGGTCATGATCTTGCAGTTCGTGGGTTTGAGCCCTTCGTCGGGCGCTGTGCTGACAGCTCAGAGCCTGGAGCCTGCTTCAGATTCTGTGTCTCCCTCTCTCTCAAAAAAAATTAAAAATAAATAAATAAAACATTAAAAAATAAAAATAAAGCATCTACGTGTCTCAAATTATTAATAAATATTATAAATAATTGCTGTACTAATTCCTAAAAAATATAAGCTGTGTCAGTGTCTCATGAAATTCTGTGGGATTCAGTTTTCTCATTTGTAAAAAGAAAAGAAAAAAAAAAGTACCTGATGTGGAATTGTGAAAATTAACAAACAGAATGCTTTCTAGTACATACGCAGGATCCAATAAGGTGTCTATTCATTTTTTGGCTCCCTCTCACTGTGACCAAAATAAATGATCTTAAGAATACCTATTAGCTTTCTTTCAACATTAGTACCTTCGTTTTGTTTTAAGAAATAAAATAACTTCATTAAAGAATTTCAATTTTCTTTAAATTTTAGCTGATTGTAAAATAAATTAATTTTTTTTGCATAGGTACCTAGTCTTTTTTTTTTTTTTATTTTTTCTGCAGTAATTCTGTTTCATTGAAGTTAAATATTCATTTGAGATGTTGGCCCAGCTTTAAAAGTTATTATTCACAGTGATACAGTACAAGAAGTACAATCATGGGATTTCTTAGCAATGGTGTAGGTAAGTGTTTTGCTTGCCTGGTCAGCTTTCCTTTTGCAGTGACTTGAAAGTTCTCAGGAAGAGGGAAATCCTGCTTTCCTCCTTCAGTGAGATAGGAGGGGAGTTATCTCTGCAGTGGATGTCCATTTGAGGCTTGGCGGGATCCCTGTGTCTTTTAGCATTTTCATTTCCAACTCTTTCTTAACTACGTTCAGAGCTACAGAGAGAAAAAGTGGGCTGTTGGTTAAACAGGATCTGCTCTCATTTCTGCTTGTCCACAAAATCCCCATCTGCTTCATCTCTGGATGACCTTTGATAACACAAGGGATTCCAAGGTGAATATTTCTAGAACCTGTGTGTGTGTGTGTGTGTGTGTGTGTGTGTGTGCGTGCGCGCGTGCATTCACACATCTCTATCAGCACTCATCCATGGAAACTGGAGGAAATTGATCTTCTAAATTTTCCCTTTGACCTCTGTTTTCCTGTCACCCTATTGCTACAATGAGTAATCTGGGGAAATACAAAAATATCTTCTAGAAGTAGCAGAAAACTTCATAGGATCATAATAACAAAAGTATGTGCAAAATTATGAAATTACAAGTGTCCAAAGTGTATCAGGCAGTCCTCCTGATAGCCTCATCTGGGTCACTTCTGTAGTCAGGGACAGCAGATGATGTCTCTGCCCCGCTTCAGGACAGAAAAGGAAATGAGGAGACCTCATTATCATTTTTCCAGAGGGATCTAGGAAAGCCAATCCAATTGCTTCCTCTCCCTTACTCTTCACACTTGTAAATATATAGTGTGTAAATATATAGTGTGTGATCCTGTAGAGAAATTCTTAGTGCTTTCTGATGTGGAAATGTGTTGGGGTTTAGAACCCAAGGTCAAGGAAGAATTCTTGAGATGTCTTCGGTGCAAAAAGGGGGTTTTATTAAAGTACAGGGACATGGAGCACCTGGGTGGCTCAGTCGGTTAAGCATCCGACTTCAGCTCAGGTCATGATCTCACAGTTCATGAGTTTGAGCCCCGCATCGGGCTCTGTGCTGACAGCTCAGAGCCTGGCACCTGCTTTGGATTCTGTGCCTCCCTCTCTCTCTCTCTGCCCCTACCCTGCTCATGCTCTCTCTCTCCCTTTCTCTCCCTCTCTCTCTCTCTCTCTCTCAAGAATAAACATTTAAAAATTTTAAACAAAAAATAAGGCACAAGGACAGAAACTATGGGCAGAAAAAGTTGCCCTGGAGTTATGAGGAGTGATTGATTATATACTTGGCAGTTGGGGGAGGTAAAGTCAGGGGGAAGTTTCCAAAAGGACTTTCATATGCTCAAGAAGACTCATAGGATCCTGGAGGCCTGGCTAATAAGCTCAGGGTTTTTTTCCCTCTAGCAAAGCATTAACCTTAAGGCAGTAGGGAGTTCTGGAGGAATGTTGTACTCTTCGGGCCTCAAGCGTTTGTCAATGGGCTGCAGGTTATAAGGAAATTTTATTTTATCTGTCATTTCCTTCAGCCTTTGTTCCCCTACATCACTCTCTTTACCTGTATAAAGGAGGCTTGATGACTGGGCCCCTGCTCAGTTCTGCAATCTCTCCTCTCTTCACCCAGCTCTCTTGAGCCCAGTGCCCAGTCCTCTGGAAAAACCGACAGATTTCTGGATACTTGTGCCTCTGCCTGGGCCCTGCCCACCTGGAAGCAAAGTTCAGCTGAGGATACAAAACCGAAGGAAAACTTGTACCCTAGAGAAGAATTTCCAAAATTGTCAACTTTTTTTTTTTAAGTGAAAGGTAGCTGTAGCTTCACATACAGGTGTGAGAAATAACCCAGAGCATATCTTACACGCTTTTCTTCTCAATTCCCCCATTTTTCAGATCCTTAATGCTACTGAGAAGACTTTTCCAGTTCTGCCTTGATACACACACACACACACCTCATAGGCATACTTGTTTTCAGTTTTTTAACAGCTTTGAGATAGTGAGATGTTATTGACATAAACATTATAAACTCTTAAGCTGTACAGCTTGATATTTGAATACATGTATATGTTGTGAAATGATCACCACAAGCAAGCTAATAAACCTGTTCATCACCTCTACATAGTTACCAGTGTGTGTGAGTGTGTGTGTGTTTCCCCATTTCCTCCCGCCTCCAGCCCCAGACAACCACTATCCTAATCTCTACTTCCTAGTGTAACATGTAAGTGAGATCATGCAGTATTTCTCTTTCTATATCACAGGTGGACTTTTATTATAATTCTGGTGTTGCCACATACTGGCCCTTATCAAATAAAGTAAAGTTAATGAGATACTCTTTCTCATTTATAAAAAAAAAAGTAATGAAAATTACTTGATGAGTTATTGTGAAAATTAGTAGAATATTTTTAATAATTGCTGCTGCCTCCTAACATAAACATCCATCTAGAATGATGTTTGTTATTTTTCTGGTTCCCTTTCATGAGGTAGCATGGGGCAGGCAGAGGGCAAAGTACAAACTGGCACACCTGCTCCCCCCAAGTTGGGATGTGTGTGACATTCTTTAGGCACTCCTGGCTGCCCAAGGACAAAGGAAAGGAAAGAAAATAAGTGGCCAACTGATAGAGATCGCAGTCATACAGGACATGGGTCTCCATCAGTTTACAAATACCTTGGTAAATTACAAGAAAAAGGCAATCTTATCAATAGCCTAATCTCGAGAAACTTGTAGCCCCACATCACCCTTCCACAGTGATATGGAGAAGTCTATATGGTATAGTCTATTTTTGCTTTGTATATCTTGCTGACTATTGGAGGGGAGTGGAGGGCTTTGTGTGTGTGTGTTTGTGTGTGGGTGTGTGTGTGGGTTTGTTTATGGGGTGTGAACAGGGGCAAGGTAAAGGTGAGACAATTGTGAGGACTGAAGGAGAGGAGTTCCTTTATCCAAGGGCCTCTTGTCTCTCTAATACTCTCCTTTTTCTTGCCTCCCACAAGTCCCATATCCATCCTTTTATTCCCTGTGAATCTCTGATCTGATCCCACATCCTGGGCCCCAGATGACTAATGGTTTCCCTCTAGACTTTGTGTGAGAAGCTTGTATGAAATACAAGAGCTTCTGGAATGTGAAGAAAGTGATGTTTGGCAGTAGGGGGAGTCTAAAAGCTGACTTTTAAATCAGGATCCCTTCTCTTCAGCTTTCAAGAACTCCCTTTCTTCCAAAACACAGATCCCAGCACCCATGATGCATATCTGAGGAAGTTTTGATGGGGCAGCTTTGGGCTATAAAACCTTGGATCAGTCTGTCATTTGAAAATTACAGTTAACTATAAAGGACAGGAACTGAATTCTCCCAGTTGTAGGATTGAGACTGAGAGAAGAACCCAAGAACCAAATGAGAAGGCAGCCTGACCAATACCTTCATTGCACTCTTATGAGACCCTGAGCTAAGCAGTACCTGAATTTCTGATCTGCAGAAATTGTGAGATGGGAGAAACCAGTGAGGAAATCTGAGCATGCCAGGTACAAGGAAACATGGGTTGGTAGGAAAGCTCAATGAGCCATGGTCCTCCTGCCACTCAAAGTCTATCTCTGATGCTAACCACATTGCTGTGATCCACTTTCCAGTTTACTATGCTCCCAAGGAGCAGGGAATAATAAATCCTCCTTAGGGCTCTGTGTCTCCCTCCAATTCCTGTATCTCCTGTTGCAGAGGGATACAAATGAAAGATCTCCCACTCTGGGCCCATGTTCTCAGCCTGAAAAAACCACAAGCCACAGGAAGTAATGTGGTTCAAGCATACTGGTACAGAAAGATTAAACAACAGGCATTGAGGTAAGTATCTGAGTAAATCTTAGGAAGACACAGAGAAGATAAGAAAACCTGTTGGTTAGCATTTTTCAAAGGAGTTCATATAGATGTTAATACCAGAACTTCACATTCAGCACAGCAATTGTGTTAACTGCAAGACCAACAAATGAACAGAACCATGATTATCGTCAGCACACTCAATGCAACTAAAATTATATCTATGGCTGGGTAACTACATATCTTTCTGTTTAAATGTCACTCCCTGTATGCAACACTGTAATAGATCTGAGGCAAGAAGGAACAACGTAGAAAAGTTTCCTTCCTGTCTTCATAGAACTTGTTGTTTGGTGCAGGGCTGCATGAGGAGGGATACTCATTGATTGTGTCATATGATAACAAAGGTGATAAAAAATGCTAGCTCTCTAAATGTAATGTGTACAAAATTTAGATGATTATTATTGTTCTTGAGAAGCATCATAAAATTTATTCGCTGTTAGCAAAAACTTACTTCATACCCAAGAAAGTGAAACTGTCAGTATGGCTTAGTGATTATGCCTATATGATTTTCAGTTCCTGCCTCATAGATAAAAGTGATTCAAGGAGTTTATTTATTTATTTATTTATTTATTTTAATTTTTTTTTTATTTTTGGTTCAGAGAGAGACAGAGCATGAACGGGAGAGGGGCAGAGAGAGAGGGAGACACAGAATTGGAAGCAGGCTCCATGCTCTGAGCCATCAGCCCAGAGCCCGACGCGGGGCTCGAACTCACGGACCGAGAGATCGTGACCTGGCTGAAGTCGGACGCTTAACCGACTGCGCCACCCAGGCACCCCTATTTATTTTTAATATTTTTGGTTATTTTTTTAATGGTTACTTATTTTTGAGAGAGAGAGACAGAGCACGAGTGGGGGAGGAGCAGAGAGAGAGGGACACAGAATCTAAAGCAGGTGCCAGGCTCTGAGCTGTCAGCACAGAGCCCAATATGGGACTCAATCCCCCAACGAACCTTGAGATCATGACCTGAAGTTGGACACTCAACCGACTGAGCCACCCAGGTGCCCGTGATTCAGTGTTTAAAAGCCATGATTAGCTCACTTTTCTGTGTGATATGGACAATAACAAAGTATCTGTGCCTTAGTTCAACAAACCAGCTTCTGAGTCATGCTACATGCCTCACATCATATAATGTGTGAAGTTTACTGTGCTCTCCAGTTCTGCCAGTCAGGGACCCGTGATGGAGCTTCCACCATCATGCAGTTGCCCCACGAAGAGCATGTAATCTGAACAAGAACAAGATAGACAACAAAGCACGAAACTATGTGTACAAAGTATAAAATATTTCAGATCTGCCTTTGATTGATAGTGTAAAAAAAACCAAATTTTTCCCAAAGGAAGTGGGGTAAGGTGGAAAAATTATGAAGGTGTGTTACTCAGTAAAAGATTATACTTGAGGGGCGCCTGGGTGGCTCAGTTGGTTAAGCGACCAACTTTGGCTCAGCTCATGATCTCACAGTTCATGAGTTTGAGCCCTGCCCTGGGCCCTGTGCTGACAGCTCACAGCCTGGAGCCTGCTTCACATTCTGTCTCCCTGCCTCTCTGCCCCTTCCCCACTTGTGCTCACTCCCTCTCTCTCAAAAATAAATAAATAAACAAACACACATTAAAAAAAAAAAAAGATTATACTTGAGAGCTTGCTTGGAGGTCCTAGCAGGAGAGTGCAGATACTTGTGTCCCCTTAACCAAAGAATGGCCCTCCTCTATTATAGGGGCAGGTCATCCTCTTCCACTGAGCTCACAGCTGTAGCTTCTGGAGGGACACACATGGAGCAGTGAGGGAGGAAGGGGACACCTGCCTAGCCAGCCAGATCAGCCGAATCAATTCTGGCAATCAATGGCGTGAGAGATGTCACAGGCAGATCACCCTCACATCGAAGATTATACTTGAATAGCACCATCTATTAAACTCCATGTTCTCACCTGCTTCCTACTCAGGTAACAAGGCACTGACTCAGTTCTACCATGATTAATTTCTGGAAGCCTTCTGTTTTTGGCCTGCCTGGATAAGAAACAGAAACTGGTTTCAATGATATTTTGGAAAGATTTTTTCCATAGGCTCACACTGAAGAAAGTTTTAAATTTTATTTTTGCCATTTACAATAATGGCTGCTAATGCTTACTAGGTCTGCTCATATTTACAGAGCTTTATAACTGATTATCTTTCCCATCACCCTCTGCATTACAAAAGCTCAGGTGCCAAGACTTTCTGGATCATTATTTTATCCTTTGTGACTTGCTTAGGGCCTGAATATAGGATAAGCTCAACAAATAATTATAGGATTGAATTGAAATGCTGAATATTCAGGCTATATCACTGTAATTCACATTTTTTTTTCTTACTCAGATATTCTTGCTGGAATAAGCTGGAGGAGGAATAAGAATGTTATGATTGGGTGCTTAGCTGGTGCAAGTCCTAGGACATACCCTTCCCTGGCATCCCACACGGTGCCCTCCCACTGTTACTATCTTACAAGTTTCTGTTCTGCTTCCTTTGTTTCATTTCCCCTTCTAAGATTTTGACTTTCATTTCTCACCTGGAGGGAAACTCCCTCACTAAGACCAGTGCTTTGACTTGGTGAGTGAATTATTGACCATACCTGCATCTGATCTCTGCTGAATCAAGACTTCCCACTTCAGCCTGAAGGTGTGTGGGGGAGTCTGTGAAGGCAAAGGGCAGTAAGTTTGGGAGGAATCGATTGAGTGTGTTTGGATGAGTTCAATTTGTGGTTCTGAAGCTGCTCTGAATTCACCAAAGAGCCAGTTTGTAGGTTTTCTGCAGAAGAGAGGTACATTGAGTGTGGGGGAGGCATGACCACTAAAGAAGGGAGGCTTGAGAATGCAAAGAACCTTGTTTTTTTCTTGGAAGGATCATTACTTCTCCAGGCTGAATTACTCTCATCTTTCTATTCTGTAGTTTTGACTTTTTTTGCCAAGGTGAGCCAGAATAACTTTTTTTTTTTCAGAAACAGAAAATCCCTTCCTCTTTTCCTCCAGAGAAACCTGTGAGATGGAACCCTGTTTTCCCTATTCATGAAAGCCCAAGTTCCTGGAGAGAGTTGGCAGAGATGACAACCCTCATCTAGACTTGAGGGAGGGAAAGGGATCTTAGGGGCTGTGCCAAGGATAAGACCTCTTGAAACCCATCATTTTATACTTCTTGTCCTTGTAACTTCTGGGAAATTGTCTGCAACATTCCTGATAAATCACCAGTTTTGGCTAGGCTGATGAGACAGACTGGATGAGCAATCTGCTGCTCATCTCTACAGCTCCCGTGTGGTCACTTGTCTCTGGGGCTCCAGCCACAGGGAATTTGTTCTTTTCTGAGGACAGCTTACCCTCACCTCAGGACTCTCTGGAGTCCTCTCCTGCTTTAGAACTTGTCCTCCATTAAGGCACCTGGGTGGCTCAGTCAGTTAAGCATCTGACTTCAGCTCAGGTCATGATCTTACGGTTCATGGGTTCAAGATCTGCATCAGGCTCTGTGCTGATTGCTCAGAGCCTGGATTCTGCTTTGGATTCTGTGTCTCCCTCTCTCTTTGCCCCTCCCCTGCTTGCTCTTTCTCTCTCTCAAAAAAATTTTTTTTAATTAAAAAAAAAATGACAGAACTCTGTCCTGTTAGACACACTTTTCCATTGTTTTTTAGCTCAACTCCTAACTCCTTTGTCCCTGCTCAGAGTAAGGAAAGGAGTTGGTAATTTTTCAGAAAGAACTCCATCTTAATCTCACCTCTGAACACCTTGTACCTTGATCTCTATGTTATATAATATTTTGATGTGCACTTTCCTTTCCTATCACTTTTCAGAAGTCATTGTTCTATGTCTTACATCTAGACCAGGTTCGTATTTGGTGTATATTAATTGCTTACTCAGAGGGCTAGCACAGGGTCCAATAGATGGGAGAAAATGGGTTTAAAATTTAAAAAAATATTTTTGATTAAATTCACAAAGGCAAAAGCATATAGCTGTGATGAAAAAAAAACATATTAACATCTACTGGACATTCAGTAGATATTAAGCATCTCCAAAAAATTGTATTCTGGGTGAATGGAGAGAAAGTAAACAGTACAAGAGTAACACGGTATGAGAAAATATGAAAACAAAGAAACAAGAGCACTAGTAGATAAGAAGTCCCACCACAGGGCTAGGTATCTACGCTGTGCCTTGATAAAAGGATTTGCAATTTAGAACAGATTTCGGGCTAGGTCTCAGTGTGGAGAGGTGATTTTGAGCTGAGTTTTCAAGGAAGTGATGGATTGAGGATGGATTTTTGCTAAGAGTGAGCAAGGCACATATAAGGCAGCCAGTGTAGGCCGGAGAGGAGTAGGAGCTGGGCTGAGAAGATGAGGCATAGGAAGGGATGTGTCATGTCAACCTAACTCAACCATGATAAAGACTGACTCCAGCTGAATGGCATGTATTTGAGCAGAGGAATGGAAAGATTGATGGATGCTTTAAAAAAAAAATCATTCCTGCTGGGATGTGAACAGTGATGAGAGCAGACTGCATGAGATGGATGACAGTATCAGGGAGACTGGTGCAGAAGCTACTTCTGGAATCCAAGGTAAAAGACTCAGTTGGAGGGGACATAATTTGAAGAGAATGCTTACAGGACCTTCTGATGAACCGATGGTGACAGATAGTGATGAGCCTGCCATAGCCTTATGGACATGGACTTCTGTGACAAAATGATTACTTTGAAACAGGTTGACCTCAGAGTTTGAGCTCTTGGGGGCAGTGTCATTAATGTGGGGCAGATTAAACCCTGGACTCTAAGGGGTGGTAGAAGAAGGAGGCTCTTCTACTCAGGAACAGGGGCAGGATCAAGGATGTCTACATTCCTCATAGGACTTTCTCCCCTTATTGTGGAGACACTTTTCATTTTTCTCATCTGTGCCGACACAGAAAGCCTCCATACAATCAGGATGTAGGGAGATAAGGAAACTTAGGATCTAGTTGGCCCTTACCCTACTGTAAAAACTCCACATTTGTACCATCTCCAAGGGGAGTATACATTTGGGCTCTGTATCTGTCTGTCTGTCTGTTTAAGGTGGAGAGACTTTCAATGGTGTAACACTTCTTCAATGATAGAATAAAGAATACACGAAATAGGGACGCCTGAGTGCTCAGTCGGTTAAGCGCCTGATTTTGGCTCAGGTCATGATCTCACGGTTCGTTGGTTTGAGCCCCGTGTCAGGCTTTGTGCTGATAATTCAGAGTCTGGAGCCTGCTTTGGATTCTCTGTCTCCCTTTCTCTCTGTTCATTTCCAGTTCTCTCTCTCTTGAGTGCATGCAAAATAAATAAACATTAAAAAAACACATGAATAAGGAAACATAAGCACTTCTATTAGTTTTCTGGGGCTGCCATAAAAAGATGCACCACAAATGGTTGGCTTAGGTGAAATTCATTTTCTCACAGTGCTGGAGGCTAAAAGTACAAGATCAACTTGTTGGCAAGGTTGGTTCCTTCCATGGGTGGTGACAGAGGATCTGTTCCATGTCTCTGCTTGCTTTTGATAGCTTTCTGGCAATCTTTGGTGTTCTCGGTAGATGCACCACCCTCATCTCAGCTCTTGTCTTTATGTGGCCTTCTCTATGTGTGCATGTCCATCTGTGTCCCCAAATTTCCCCATTTTATGAAGATGCAGTCATGTTGAATTAAGGCCCGTCATAATGACTTCACATTAACTTGATCATCTGCAAAGACACTATTTCCAAGTAAAGTTACATCTACACATACTGGGGGTTAGGACTTTGACATCTTTTGGGGGAATATAATTCAAACCATAATAGCACTCAATGTGTTTGAAACAGGACAGACTTTATCTTTCTATCTATGGCCTTCATTATATATTGATTCTTCTCTCCCATGACCAACGGCAACCAACGGTTGCCTCATTGGAATTTATGTTTCCTGAGTCTCTATCTTCTCAGGTATAGGTTGTGACCCTATGAGTATATGAACCTGTTCTTTCCTCCCTAAAAACATATTGCTTTCTGTGCCCATCGACCTCCTTGTTGTATGTGCAGGTCAAGGTGAAATTCCATCTACAAATACAAGACTCCCCAGACCACCCATCTGGTCTTGAGGTCTCTATTCCTATACCCCCAGAGCACTGTGTAGCTGTCTAGTTCATACAGCCTTTCCCTCTGTTTGTCTTTGTTAACATCTGTGCAGTAATGGAGAGAATTCTGAAAGAGGATCCTGAGGATTGTATGTCCACTCAACTCTATCTTTTATAATAGAATGACGTCTGTAAATAGAATGATCTGTAAGCCATGTGATTCTATGTACACATGTGAAGAAAGATTCTATGTACACTCTTATTTCTCAGGGATTCTTATATAAGGAATAAATAGGTCAGAGTGACTTGTAAATGGTAATTGGTTATAAAACCATTAGTGACAAAATTACCTCCCTATTGTGATCCTTGCTGTTTCTGTAGGTGTCTCTGGGGAACGAATTTGAGGGCATGGGGAAGGCTCTATGTGGGACAGGTGTGTTAGGAGATAAATTCTTCTCAGTTACTAGAGAACTACTAATAGATAGGAAGAAAAGCTTAAGGGATACCTGGGTGGCTCAGTCGGTTGAGTGTCTGACTGGCTCAAGTCATAATCTCACAGTTCATGAGTCTGAGCCCCACAGCAGGCTGTCTGCTGTCAGCATGGAGCCTGCTTCAAATCCTGTTCTCCTCTCTCTGCCCCTCCCTCACTTGCTAGTGCACTTTCTTCCTCTCTCTCCTTCTCTCTCTCTTTAAAAAATAAACATTTGGAGCGCCTGGGTGGCTCAGTTGGTTAAGCGTCCGACTTCGGCTCAGGTCATGATCTCACGTTTGTGGGTTTGAGCCCCGCATCGGGCTCTGTGCTGACAGCTCAGAGCCTGGAGCCTGTTTCAGATTCTGTGTCTCCCTCTCTCTCTGCCCCTCCCCCACTTGCACTCTATCTCTGTCTGTCTCAAAAATAAGTAAACATAAATAAATAAACATTAAAAAAAGGAAAAAAAAGCTGAAAAGTTGATGAGAAAGAGCTAATCATCTATGGAGAGATGAGGAGATTCTAACTTTATATATTTATCACATATTGTGTTCCTGTGTATGATGTACTGTTCTAGGTACTGAGGATCCGTCAGTGAACAAAATCTAAGGGTTACTTTTTAGGAGGAAGAGGCAGATATTTAAAGAAAGATGTTTTGTATTATGTAGTAAAAATAAAAGAAATATAGCGAATGTACAGCAAACGATAGTATCAGCAGTTTTGCTATAGAGAAGTTAACAAAGCAGGTCCTGATGAGAAGGCATAAAAGGAGACTGAATGAAAACTAAGAGTCATGCTGATGTCGGAGGAGAGTGATTCTATGTAGAGAGACAAACAAGTGCAAAGTTTCTGAGGTAGCAGTGACTTCTGTGCTTTTGACATTGAGGAACTGGAGAGAAAGGCAGGGTGGATGAAGCTCAAAACCAGTATGCTAAGTGAAGAAGTCAGCCTCAAAAGATCATATATTATAATTCCATTCTTATTATACATTATAATATAAATACACAAGATTGTAAAATATAAAAACACAAGATTGATGATTTCCTAAGGCTCAAGTTCAGAATGGGGTGACTACTAATGGCATGAGGCTTGTTTTCATGTGATAGAAATGTTCTAGAATTGGACTGTGGTGTTAGTTATCCAGTTCCATAAGTTTACTAGAATCATTGCACTGTACTCTTGAAATTAATGCATTTGATAGAAATATTACTTGATAAAATTGTTTTTTAAAAAAGGTCATGTAAATATCAAGAGTGGGATCACTCCACTCAGGAGAAGAGCAGTGCAAAAGCCCAGGGACCACAGTGGGTTTAGTGTATTTAACAGGAAGGATGTGTTTTGGGATGGGCAAGTAAAGACCGGAAAAACTTATGGGTTGCACAAGGTTCTTGGTAGGAAGGGCTTCAGTTTGTCCGTCTACCAGTAGAAGAAGACAAACTAGCAAGCTTGCCCTGATGGGGTGAAATTTATCATGCTACATAAACTGAGAGTGACGTGTTTAAAATTATTACAAAGAGTGCTTTTCATTCTGCTACTGACCTACTTCTCTTGTCTGTTTTCTTCTCTATATTGAATATTAATGTTTTGCCCAATTCCAAATCTCTACATAATCAATATCCTTTCTATTTCTGCCTTTCTTATCATGTCCCCTTCAACATTCCAGCCCTACAGGAGTCTGTGAGCAAGAAGAGCCTCAGTTGTCAGGAAAGGAAGAAGCCAGGGGAGCACTGCAATGCATTTTCTAGCACAGGTAAACTTTAAGAGGGAGTTGACCTACCCCATCTGCCTGGAGCTTCTGACAGAGCCCCTGAGCCTGGACTGTGGCCACACCTTCTGCTGAGATTGCATCACTGCAAAGAACAGGGACTCACCAAGGAGGGGAGAGCAACTGTCCTGTGTGCCAGTGCAAATATCAGCTTCAGAATCTCTGACCTAACCACCCTCTGGCCGGCATTGTGGAGAGAGTCAGGGAAAATAGGAGCCCACAGAAGAAAAAGTTCTGTGAGAATCATGGAAAAACACTCTGTGTCTTCTGTAAGGAGCATGGGAAGGCTGGTTGCCAGCACACTGCAGTGTCTCAGGAGTATCACGGTCATCATATATTCCTCACAGAGAAGGTGGTCAAGGAATGTCAGGTAGGCTCAAGGGTGAAAGAAGATGGGGCAGGATGATATCTGAAGTGAATTCTTCACTTTTTAAGCCTATGTTCTTCCCCTTGCCATCATAAAACTGAGCTCTGAAATCTCTTTTCCGTACCCTTTTCTCAGCTTCTGAGACCTAAAGGATATTTCTGTGCATTCTTTCATCTGATCAGAAATGAGTCTAGATTAGAGACCCTTAGCAAAGAGAAGTTGGATGAATGGAGAAATGCTTCCCAAGGTAAAATCTGATAGCCGCTTTGAGCAGAAGGGTTTTTTTGGGGGGAACATGGCTGGTTGGATGTGGAGAATGCTGTCAATGAGAGGAAAGGAATTTCCTTGATGCAGGATCACTTCTTCCTCTAGGAAAAGAGAGAATCAGGTTACTCTTGATCAAGGGGTGATAACTTGCAGCACACAGGGATAAAGAATACATTAACCTCTTCAGATATTTGTCTACATAGTAGATTCTAATCATCAGTCTCATTTCCATAACCTAGTCTCTTCTGTGATGAGTCTTATTTCTTCCTTCTATCCAGGTGCTAAGAAAGCTCATAACTTGACTCTGGTGATTCTTTTTCTCATAGGAGAAACTCCAGGCAACTCTGAAGAAGCTGAGGAAGGAGCAGCAGAAAGTAGAAGAGCTTGAAGTTGACATCAGAGAGGAGAGAGATTCCTGGAAGGCAGGAAAATATTTCCTGAGGGAGTTGAGGCAGGAAACAAGGCAGCATCTTAGTCCAGTCACAAGGAGGCCCCTTTCTCTTGGTTACCTCACAATTAATGAGTTCAGAAGATATTTGATTAGTCCTCATTTCATTCCTTCCCTGTTGGAATTGGGTTCCAGAGGGTAGACCTATCACAAATAAAACCAAATATTTGGAGGTGAAGGCATAGGACAAAGCCATGTAAAAATGACTAATGAATCTCATGTTCCATATCCATCATCAAGTTTGAGGCACTAATACTTCCAGAAAACATACTGAGAAAAGCCCAGTGTTCCCTATTTAGGAGGTGTGGGTGGAAGGGCTTACTATACAGTGTGGCATGATTATCCAGGACAGATATATGCAAGCCAAGCCTCATCCAGGTGTCATATTGTGTCTGAGGGTGGGCCCTGCTAAAGTAGACTTTAATATATTCCTTTGGAAGAAACCCAAAGGAAAGTCATGGGGAAATGGCTTTCTCAGTAGTTGCTCACTACCTCATTGAGAAGTCCCTGAGGAAGATAATTCTTGTCTTGGCTCCCAGGCCCAGACAAAGTAGGCCCTTGGCCAAACAGACTGCCTCTTTCTCTTCCCATCCCCAAAGAATCATATGCAGACTGAGAGACAAAGGATTCTGAAAGAGTTTAATGAAATGAAAGGCCTCCTGGACAGCAAGGAGAAGAGGGTGTTGCAAAAGCTGGAGGAAGACAAAGTAAATGTGTTGGATAACTTGGTAGTGGCCAGAGACCAGCTGGACTGGCAGAGGCAGTACTTGAGAGGGCTCATCTCACACATTGAGCATCAGATATGGGGGTCCTCAGAAGACATGATGCAGGTAAGTCTTCGGTTGGAGCGTTTACATGATGAGATTTAGGGGAAACAGAGAGTAAATTTCCTTCCCTGCTGGATTTCTTCATTTTCTTCCTTATGGTGACATTGAAAGGCTCTTGGGCCCCTCCATACCCCCTCTCTATCATTTCAAAGCTTGGAGGGATAATTCAAAGAATGGCAAAGAAAATTGCCATTGTTAGCAATTCATAAAAGGCAGTGCAAAAAATTTGAAGACAAGATTCTTTTTAACGTTTATTTATTTTTGAGACAGAGAGAGACAGAGCGTGAACGGGGAAGGGGCAGAGAGAGAGGGAGACACAGAATCGGAAGCAGGCTCCAGGCTCCGAGCCATCAGCCCAGAGGCCGATGCGGGGCTCGAACTCACAGACCGCGAGATCGTGACCTGAGCTGAAGTCGGACGCTTAACTGACAGCCACCCAGGCGCCCCGAGGACAAGATTCTTTATAAGCTCCCCTTATCTATGATCTACCATTTGTAAGGCATCTCTTCATTAAGTTTGGTCAAATAACACAAATCTCTATTTACATTTGATTTTCTTGTTGTTGTTGAGTACTAGACTGTGCAATATTTGTAGTTTTGATTTTCATTTCCCTAATATAGACCTATAATGTTGTGCATCTTTTCATGGGTTTATTGTCCATTTGTATATTTTCTTTGGAGAAGTATCTATTCAAATTTTTCCCCATTTTTTGAATTGGCTTTTTGTTGTTGTTGTTGTAGTTTGTTGTATATTCTGTGACTAATACCTTATCAGATATATGATTTGCAAATATCATCTACCTTTTTGTGCATTGTCTCTTCATAGTGTTCTTTGCTGCATAGAAATTTTTAACTTTGGTGTAGTTCAACTTAGTGGTTTTTCTTTTATTCCTTGTGCTTTTTTTTGTTGTTGTTATATCCAAGAAATCATTACCAAATCTAATATTGTGAATATTTTTCTCTTTGTTTTCTTCTAACAGTTATATAGTTTTATATCTCAAGTCTAGATCTTTAATTCATCTTGATTTATAATTTATATGTGATGCAAGTCATCTATGTTTAATAGTATTGTAACCATTATATTATTTTGAGCCATTTTGGGGGGAAATAATTTGGTAAAAAGAATGAGGAGATGGCAATCAGTGAAGGGATGGACTGTATGGGACTTTTGTTTGTCCAACCTCAATTCAATTACCTCTTTCTTTCTTTCTTTCTTTCTTTCTTTCTTTCTTTCTTTCTTTCCTTTTCTAGAACTTCTTGAATTACTCTTTGAAGAACCATTCTTACTCCCAGTCTATGTAGTTGGTTAGGGTGGATAAAATCAGTAGCTTTAGGGATGTGTCTCTAAATTCTAGTAAGTCAGAATATCAGATTCTTATGTTTACCAATAATGCAGTAATTATTTTGACATATGCATCTGACCCAATTCAGGTCAAAGATTTTTATGCCTTTGAATTTTACTGTCATGACTAGGAAAGAGAAATTCTCTTTTTCACTAGGTAGTATATAAGGGATTATCATTTAAACCAGGAGATTCAAGTTGATGCCACACAGAGCCTAAAGAGAAAGTCAATATTGCAAGTAGAAAATAGAATTAGAATTTTGAGAATAACAGATTCTGATGACAGATTTTCACTTAAAAACCACCTATGACGAAATTTACACCTGCCCCTGAATTTATTCATCTTTCTTTTAAATTTAAACCAGTTTTATTTGGGTTTTTGTCATATACAATAACAAGAAAAAGCCTAATTCAGAGAGTAAAACTTTATCTGAAATGTAGAGTCAACTGAAGACCAGGTCTTCATTGGTATAAAAGGGGTTGGGCTGGAAAGAGGGAAACCAAATATATTGGTACATTCTGTTCTATGATGGGAATAAAAAGATGGCTAAAAGATTTTGAGACATGGACTGGATTGACAATACAATATTGAAATTCAGAGTAAGATATTATAGTTTCTAAGACTGTGACTGAGTATGTATTGGTATCATTTGGGGCAATGGAATATAAACAGTTGGGAAATAGTAAATTACATTTTAGACTTTCTCAGGTTCTGGTTCCTCTGGCTTATTTCATGCTCAAATATTGATGAGATTACCTATAGGTAACGGAGAGGAGGTATATAGAATGAGTGAAAGAAAGCCAGAGAAACATTCACTTGAAGTGTTTGTTTGCATGTACCCGCAGCAAAAGAAAGTATACTTTTGGAGAACTATTATTATTGATTATTCATCTTTGACTCTCCAGAGCCTGGAATGATGTCTGGCACATATGTGTTTCACCTTTATCTGTCTCTGGAATAAATAAAAGCATAATGAATTAATGAGGTCTTCTCATGTACGTATTTGTTTAAAAATGTCAAGCCTCTTCTCTTCTTTTAAATATATCCCATCTCCAAGCACTGGAAGCATCTTTCTAACATCCTCACATGAGTCCTCAGGATGGTTGATCTGGATCTTATCATATATTCTGTCCTCCACATTCTGATCATCTCTTTTTTCACACCTTAGCAAGGGATGTTAGGGGGTTAAGGTGGATAAAACTTTTTAAGGTAGGAGGGCTTATAACTCCTTGGAGGGTTGCCAGATCAAATCCAGGATGCATAATTAAATTTGAATTTCAGATAAATTATAAATCATTTTTTTAGTAGAAGGATATCCTAAATATTGCACGAGTCTTGCTTAAGCTAAAGTATATTTTTACTTAAAATGAAAATTTATCCATTTTTATTTTCTAAGTATACCAATCCTGGACTTGACTCATGTTTTCTCTCTTCTCCAGGATTTGATTAATGTCATGAGAAAGTATGTGTGGGAGACCAGGTATGGTCCTTTCTTATGTGAAGACAGAATTATAGCCATGAGAGTTATCTTGGGATGAATAAGAATTTTAAAAAAACCACAGAGCTGGGGAATTGGGAAATTATATCATTTAAAATTTTTGATCACAGGTGAAAGTTTTCAATGGAATTTGGGTGGTGGGAGGTCACACAGTTAGGGCCAGTAAGAGCATGATTTCACTAATTTTAGTCAAACCTTAGTCTCTGCTTCAGCTTGTTTCCATATTTCATAGGTACCTGTCTTATTTCAGGGAGGATCCTATCCTCTATCTTCCAGACCCCCAAGTTTTCCACAAAGGCAGCTCCTTTCATTTATTTTTCTTCCTGAAGATAGAAGAAACAAGGTCTTTCTAGTGGTTTCATTGGGGCTTCGGAAAAAACAAAAAAACAAAACAAACAAAAAAACCCAACCCCTGTCTTGGAGAACAGTGGCTTTGGTCCTGGTGCCAATAATTAATTTCTACTTGCTTACACACTTTAGTATCTTATAGAAAATATGGCCTTTTTGTGTCTAAAGTGGCCTATCCACATGGCAGCTTCAAGGTCTTCCCAAATATATGAAATTCAAACCACTATTCATTTGGTTGTCATAACTTCTCCTTTTCCACATGTGTGTAATGTTTCCCCAGAGAATGTAACCTCAAATGTTATTCTCTAGACATCTGTACTGGGATACCAGGCTTTGGAGACCCTTCAGACTCTTAACATAGAGCTCCATACTTGATAACCTAAATCCCTCTGTAGTCAGGTTCTGGAGCTTCTTTACTGACCACCTGTCTGGGAACTCACATCTCTGGCCTCTCACTGGTGGAACCCCTAGGGTGGCAGTGACTTCTTCATGTATCAAATACTTGATTTTTTTTAGAGGCATCAAATACCTGTTAAATGCATCATTATTTTATACAGTTTTATTATTTTAAGAGGTAGAGAGTATGGGGTTAATTTCGCCATTTTAGAAGGAAGAACATGAGCTTCATTGAGGTGAAGACCCCTTCTGAAGGTCACACAGAGGGCAAATGGAAAGGTAGATGTGAGCAGATATTTCTTCTGGTTGCAGCATCAGGTCTCTCCCTGTTCCCCTCCTCAGGACCTTCAGTGGAGAGGATTCAAGTACATCAGTGGAGTGAAAAGTGGGAGAAGCAGTGGTCTTGCAGAGGTCAGACATGTGGGGTGACCAATTTTGTCTTCTCTAGGAGTGAGAGCTGGATTTTGAAGAGGCCAAACATTGTTTCCAAGAAACCGAAGAGTACATACCAAATTCCAGATCTGAAAGGGACGCTGCAAGTGTTTAAAGGTAAGGAGGGTCAGAGGAAGGGTGTGGGTGTCAAATTGTTGTAGTATTGGAGCAAAATGGGGAAGAGGATGTGGTTTCTAGATGAGGATAAAAGAGAGGATGTAGGCCTGACAAGCGGAGATAGATATATTGTGTGGAAGATGAGATCATATCTAAGGGGGAATGGTCAAGGTGTCTGATTCATCATTTCATTCACCAGTTGATAGCCACACAGGGCCTCGTGCCTCCATTCTAGTGAGAAGCCAAGTATCAGGGTTTAATCCCTTTGCTTTTAACAACATCATTGAAACTTTTGTCATTTCAGAGCTGACAGAGGTTCAATGCTACTGGGGTAAGAAGGAGTTACAGGTTGTTCAAACTGCCATGTTCTGATCCCTTTTAGAAGTTGTGGTTACTATCAGGTCCCATGATCTTAGCTTCATGTGCTCCCCCCCAAACATGCATGCATACAACAGTTCTTAAGTGTGCTACTCATCTCTGACCCATCAACATGAGTTCCTCCCAGTCAGTTCCTGATGTTCCACCTCAAATGTCACAAGACACACCTGCTCTGTATCCTTCACCCAACCCTGTCATTTTTCCCACAGTGGACGTGATGCTGAAGCCAGTCAATGCTATTTTGAATATTACCATTTCTGCAGATAAAAGACAGGTAAAAGGCATACAAGATTTCTCTCTTCAAAATATACATCTATGTAGTTTCTCTCTTTTTGATGTCTTGGGTTGCCAGCATTTCTCCTAAGGGAAGTATTACTGGGAAGTAGATGTGTCTGAGAAGATCGCCTGGATCCTGGGGGTGCACAGTAAAGCAAGAAGCCCCAAGAGAAAGGAGAGTTCTGGGTTTGTTTTTGATCCGAATGTATATCTTCCAGATGTTTACTCCAGATACAACCCTCAATTTGGCTACTGGGTTATTGGGTTACAGAATGAATCTGGTTATAAGGTTTTTGAGGAGTCTTCCACCTTTGATCCCAAGGTCTTGACTCTTTGCATGACTGTCCCTCCCCGTATTGGGGTTTTCCTAGACTATGAAGCAGGCATTGTCTCATTTTTCAATATCGCAAACCATGGGTCACTCATCTACGAGTTTTCTAGATGTCAGTTTTTTCAGACTACTTATCCATATTTTAATCCTTGGAATTGTCCAGTCTCCATCATCCTGTGCCCACCAAGCTCCTGAACCTCTTGGCACCCCCCTCACTTTTGTGTAGTGCTCCTTGTCCTTGGGGCTCATCTCCTACACCTGAGCTCATATGCACCATTCTGAAACCTTTTCCTTCTTTTCTCCATCTTTTATTTTAGAATGTCTTTGGAAGAGTCTGCTAGCACTGCTGTAACAAATTACCACAGAGTGGGTGGCTTAAACAACAGAAATTTCTTGTCTCACAGTTGTGGAGGCTGGAAGTCTAACACCAAGGTGTCAGCAAAGTTGGCTTTTTTCTGAGGGCTCTGAGGGAAGGGTCTGTTCCTTGCATTGTAGGTGGCTGTCTTCTCTCTGTGTCTATTCATATCACCTTCCCACCGTTGCATGCCTCTGTGTCTAAATCTCCCCTTTTCTAAGGACACTAATCAGATTGGAGCAGGGCCCATCCTAATTACATCATTTGACTTAATCACCCCTGTAAAGACCCTCTCTCCAAAAGATCACACTCTGAAATATTGGGGGTTAGGATTGTAACATATGAACTTAAGGGGAACACAAGTCAACTCAACAGTCTTTTGCATGTCTTTGCCATGCAGCGAAAGCTTTAACCTTTTTCTACATAATATTTTGTTCTCACTAGGAAATAATATTTTTTTTTCTTATTCGTTTTTGTTTATTATGAGGAGAGGATGCTTATTTGCAAAGGGAACACATGTAATCCTTTCTGTAGAAAGACCAGTATTGCTGTACCACATCTGACATCTCTTTTCCTCATTCCCTCTGCTGTTTAATGGAATTAACAAGGAAAACTTATCAATTCTACCCCTATACATAGGACTTAGGACAGTGCATAGGAATCTGTAATTTGGTAGTGAATCCTTCAGAGTGTGTTGCTTTACAATGGCACCCCTTTATATGACGGAGTTAAAGCAGAAGTGCACAAATAAAATATTTACCAAGAGTGGATTTTTGGTGCTCAGAGTTTCTGAGGTCAAATCTCATGTCTTACAAGTTGTGTAAACTTGAACAAGTTACTTAGCACCTCTTGGTCTCATTTTCCTAAAATAAAAAATTCATGTTAAAGATTGTACCTACTTCCTAGGGTCACTTTGAGAAACCAAATTTTATTAGATGTGAAGCACTTATCTAAGAGTCTTACATGAAAGAGTAAACATTTGTTATTGCTGAAAAAATATAAGCTGTATTAATGAGGAACAATTTTTTGTTTTGTTCTGGTTTGGTTTTGCTTTAATAAAATGATAATTGGCTCACTGAAGTCTCATTTCCCAGATTCCAAAACTCCACTGCAGACAATATGAGTTTTCATGTTGTGTCATGTAGAGAGCGTCATGTCTAGGCTCAGCTGTGCTGATGAAAGACAGCCTTCTGGTGTTCAATCCTTGTCCTTGTGGTGCAACATCTGAGTATACCTCTGCATTTACCACCCTATGCACTCTTCTTCTCCTTCTCCTCCTCCTCCTCTCCCTTCTCTTCCCACTCCCCATCTCCTCCCCCCTCCTTCTTCCTCCTCTTTCTCTTCCTCCCTCTCCCTCCTCCTTCTTCTCCTTCTTTTTCTTCTTCTTCCTCTTCTTTGTCAGAATATGAAATGAAAAATAGAACTACCTAGGATAGTGAAGACACAGATTGCTCTTTGAGAAGCATGCATTATAAAATAGAGCAGACTATGCCACTGTACAAAATTTGAATCAAGATTCACAGGACTTTAGAGAAAGATGCATACCTTGGCCATGCTGGATGAAAATGAAAGTGTCTGGCACGGGATCAATATTTATATGTCTGTCTATATACACACATGCATACACACACATGTACACCTATGGGTATATATACCTGTAACCATTTGTATAAATACGTGAATATATATTAACATCATTCTGGTTAGTCTTTACAAATATCCTAAGAGGAAGAAATTTATATCAGGAGATTAAAAAGGTTTACAAACGGAAGAAAAAAATTCTAGAAGTTTGTTAGCTGTTAGAATTTTTCCCTAAGGTTTCAAGGCTAATGAGTGACAGAAGCAAGATTAGTACCAGCTGTGTGCTACTCCTACACCTGTGTGCTCTCCTCTGCACCACACCACAGAGAAGGCAGCAACTTGACTCCCAGGGATATGGGGAAGGAGGGAGAGCCAGAAAATACCGTCTGCAGGAGGAGCCTGGCCATGTTAGGGCAAACCTTAGGTGCCATGAAATTCAATTTGATATGCTCAATCCATATAGCCCAAATGAGACAGTAGTAGGTCATAGATAATATTATGCTGAGCTTCTTAATGGCCACCATGCCACTGTGGATGACATGAAGAAAATGTCCCCACCTTTTAGTGTAGACGGTGAACACTATAATTGGACAGTTACAAAGCTGGACTCTGAAAACAGACCAAATTTTGTGTAATGATGATATAATCCCTTTGTGGCCCTTATCAAATTAACTAATTTTTATTGGATTCAATTTTTCATGTATAAAACAAATAAAAATAGTAAAACTTTCCTGATGGGGATGTTGTAGAAATTAAATAAGAGGTTAGTTGTGATAACCTGTGTTTTCTAGCATGTAAGCATTGACCCAGAGTGTGCCTATTGATGCTTTTTATTGGTTTATTTTCTGACTTGAAATAAATGATTTTAAGAAAGCACATTCATTCATTTTAAAATAATTAACTTTGCTTTCAAGAAATAGGATAGTTTGAGTAAAGAATCAGTGTTTTAAATTTTTTTCTATCCAGTTAAAATAAATATTACATTATTGTAAAATTTACTTCATTCTCATCCCCTCCTGTAATTGTAATAGTCTCTTTAACTTAATAGACTACACAAAATTGTATTTATTTTCTCCTGCTATGTAACAAACTATCACAAATTTAGTGGTAGGTTTAGATTTTAGGCTTAAAAGAATACCCAATTATTATGTCATGGTTTCTGTGGATCAGGAGTCTGGGTAAAGTTTTTCTGGGTTCTCTCCTTTAGGGTCTCACCGGAATACGCTCAAGGTGCCAGCTGACATACAGATGAGAGCAGGGAAGTGGCCTTATCTAAACTCTTTTCAGATGTAAACAAGACTAGGAATTAAGCAGACCCCTGTCTCTAGTAGGGACCAGATGCTCTTTGCCAAGGTTAGAGTTCAATGAGAAGATTAAAGAGAATCGCACTTTTTAGGCATTTTATACATCCGTGCACTGGTTACTGTGATCCCTTATTCCCTGACACCAAATGATGAAAAAACAGACACTATGCTCTGATTTGGGGTCTGAAGCCACCACCATTTAAAGAAAAAACTATTCAGGACACTTGTTAAAGATGTAAGGTAAGGAGGACTTTATTCTAGGGGGGCTGCCAGAGTTGAGCCAGAGAGATTGGCTCAACTCTGAGTACAATAAAGAAAAGTGGGGATGTAGAGCCAAGGAACAGGGTCAGAGGTTACTAGATGGGATACTAAGGGGACTGAGTTCAGTTCAGGAGAGAATCTTTGTCAGCACCCAGGCCTTTGCCCAAACCTGACAATGGGTAGGTGTCTCTGGGCCTCTACAAACTTCTACTGTGATGCCCCCCACTGCTGAGGTATTATTGATATTGTTAAATTGTCTGTGTGCACCTTTGCTAGTCTTTGCCCCTGAGCCATGTTAGGGATATTTTTGTGGGGCATGTGGAGGACTGTAAGCCAACATGATTCCTGGGCAATAGTAAATGGCCAGGCTATTTGATTGGGCTGCTAGAGAACCTGAGCCTGGCATATAAAACAAGTTTCCCTGTGGAGATGGAACAGTTGGAGAAAAATTAGTTCTGCTCCTAATAAGTGTTTGTGATCCATGTGGATGCTCAGCAAAGAGGACCTACACTTGGCCAAGGAAACAATCAATGAGCAGACCATGATTGTCAACTAAATGTGGAGACTAAAAGTGTCTTCTACCCCAAAGCAAACAGGTTTGTGACCAATCTTCTCTTGAATTCAGGTGAGGAGGGCCTTGGAAAATCTAGAAAAAGCCTACATGCACAGACTGCAACTGTCAGAAGCAAATACTGAAATAGTATAAAAAGCTTGTCCCTGACTCTGGTCAAGGCTAAAATCACTGCCCAAGGACAGAATCCCCAAACTGCCCAAGGGCCAAATATATTCTTGGCCAGTAGAACATCCTGCCTAACATCAAACCCCTTGTCCCATCAGAGCTCTCACTCAACCCAGTCTACAGTTGACTTTCTTTGTATTTGTCCTAGCACTCCCATGCATTCCACTGACTCAAGCCATGGTATCCAGGCCCTACAAGGCCATATTTGTTTCCTGTTAGGTTTCCTGAGCACTTTGCCTCTGATAATGGCCCTGGATTAGCAGCCCAAGCTACAAATCAGTGGACCTAATCATGGGACACATGGTGGACTCTTCATGCTTCATGCCACACTCAAGCCACAAAGGAAACTGAGTATTTTAATGAACAATTACAGGATGGGATTTTGCAGCTGATGAAGAGATAAGACAACCCCAGCCTGGACCACACATCTCAGACAAACAATCCGGGTTCTCAAAGCAGCGATTGCCCTAAAGGACAATTCTCACTTGCACCTCATGTTTGATCAGGATGTCTGCTCCCTTCCTTCAATTGTACATCTGTCTTTTATAACTTTGACATTTCAATATTTGTGGAAGACCTTGCAAAGGCTTTCTAATCCCTTCAACCCCTTTCTAAAATTTATTTATTTGTTTTGAGAGAGAGCAGAGCCTGACACGAGGCTCAAACTCACGAACTGTGAGATCATGACCTGAGCCAAAGTCAAGAGTCAGATGCTTAACTGACTGAGCCACCCAGGCGCCCGTCAGCCCTTTTCTAAAGATTCAAATAAGTAAGAGATTAACATGACAGCAAGGGATGAGAGATCCAAGATTTTTGTGCTAACCAATTCTTCAACATGATGTGTCTTTCTGATTAAGTTGTACAAAAATGTTTTCCTGTATAAATGCTTTCGCCCTTCTTGCATATAGTCCTTCTAGACTAAAAGGTTTAGATGAAAATACAGAATTAAAAAACGTAAAAGAGACATACTGATAGCAACATGTGAAAATGAATAACAAAAAACAGAAAAGAATCGTAACACTCTGGTACCTTGGGAGGCATGGGGAAGGGGGAAGGGAAAAACATCAGTGGTCTTTCAGGTCTTTTAGAACCAGCCCTGGAAGCTTCCCTTTCTTCTTGAATTAAAACCTTGGGGTGTTGCCTTACTGAGCTGCTGTAAGTGCTTTGGACCCAGATTGACTGCTGATCCTGCAGTCACACAACAGAGCACACACAGATGTCATTCACATCACCAGGCTGATAAACTGATATCACACACAAATAAGACTGAAACAAACCATCTGTGGTAGTTCTGAAACCAAGGACTAAACTGAATTATTCTGTCTGGACTGGGAACCCCAGGGCAGGAACTCTGTTAGTCTGCAGCCAGATTAGTATCTGTCCCCTTGGGGTGCCCTCACATTGTAAACCCTGTTTTTAGGGAAACCACATTTGCCCCCTGGGATTATCCTTCTCGCATGTGAACCCTGACTATCCTGACACTGCCTCAGCTCCTCTGAAAGCTTCAGGGTAGCCTTCAGCTGTATTGTGGCCAAAGCTGTGCTGTGCTTGAATCAATGCCTTGGACCAGATAAGACAAGATCCATATAGAAACTTAGTGTGGGGGGTTCACGCCTCAGTGATGCAGTTGCTTAAGCATCCAACTCTTGATTTAGGCACAGGTTATGATCTCACAGTTTGTGAGTTCAAGCCCCGTGTCCGCCTCTGCACTGACAGTGTGGAGCTTGCTCTCTCCCTCTCTCTCTGCCCCTCCCTGGCTTGTGCTCTGTCTCTATCAAAATAAATAAATAAACATTTAAAATAAAAAGGAACTTAAGGGGGAAGCTTTCTAGCTCTTTAAAGGAAGCCCTACTGGGTATGGGACCTCTTTTTCTGACTTGGTAACTGAAGACTCATGGTTATATTCAGTTCTTCAGACAGGTTTCATCCTTCTCAGAATAATCTTGATCATTGCCTGGTCCGCTGTTGTGTCAGACTCATTACCCAGTTCTGACATAACTCCTCAAAGTCTCACCCATTAGAGCTCATGATAATGTCGTCTGTTTCCAACTTAGGTCCTGAAAAGTCAGGGAGTGAAATTGAGGATTTTAGCTCTAGGCTGAAATCCTATGTGTAATTTCTTAGGCCCCTCTACTGGCAGTGACAAAAGCTTCACTTCATAGGCTGGACGTCACAGGGCAAAAACCTCCTCCCAC